AAGAACACTGAAGGGATAAAATACAAACGTACAATAACATTTGTGCTCCATAATTTTATATTTGTTTAGAAAAATTGTTAGTGTTGCCACAAGCCAAAGTGCTCGAAGTCATATTTGATCATAGCTGGCCTTTAACTTGAAGTGTTAATTAATATTACATTACCGCGAGTCATGGAAAAGTTGAAAAGGAAATTTGGAAGTGAAGTTTCGTGATACAGACGTATTAATTCAGGTTATGTATTCTGAGGTGAAAGGTTGGTGGCGTTGGCAACAAAATATTGAAAAAAAAAATCACAGAGTGCAAAACTATCCTATTGAGAGGAATATCGATTTGAACTTCGATCTTGCCTTAAAATCAGAGGAGTTTGCTGAAATTTAAACTTGGATCTTGAAGGTAAATAATACTTGGCTGGGATATCTGTTGAACGCAATGGCGGATCCAGAGTAGAAATTTGGGGATGTTCTTTATAACTTTGTACTTGCAACTCTAAACCCTTCTCTTCGCGGAGTGTCACTTATGATGGAAATAATGTATAGCTTTTAACTGGGGGTGTTTCTCTCCACAGTTTCCCCCTCCCGCGGATCTGCTCCTACTTGAACGATTAATTAAGGTCTTTTAGGCCAAAGTAAAGGTCTTTTAGACTAAAATAAAATTTCCGGCAATCTCACCCTCTTTAGGGGACCTTATTGATGTACGCTGAATGTGTAGTATTACGAGCAAGCTTTTCTCACTAAGTCCGTATTGAAAAATTTTTTTTTTCATGTCTCTAATTCCACTTTTTGTTAGAATTCAACCAACAATTCGCCAAGATACACCCAAAGTAATAAAACACATGTGGTTAAATCTGTTTGAAACCATATTATGCACAAAGCAGTTGAAAGCAAGAATCCCGCTGAAATCCATTAGTGTAACAAAATCTCCTTCTCACTCGCATAAAACATCCCTTTTGTTCCAGGATGAATAAAATAAAGGTAACTTAGCACCTGCGAAAAAATCAGAGTAATTTCATTGATAAAAGGAAAGGAAGCGCAAGGAGCAAGGAAAAATTCTGATAGATAAGAGCACTGGAAACGAAACCTCTGAAATGAAAAAGACCCAAACGTGTTTGGAACAAAGAACTGCGACAGCAAACTGATTACCAGCTGGGCTGAGCTGCAAACTATACGCTTAAACACACACAAGAACATATTTGATGTAACTGATATGGAGGGTAGAGGGGTCCCAAAAAGTCGTAGGTGTTGCAAGGCAAGCAAAGACAGCATGAATTATCCAATTCTGTTGCCAGTTCCAATTCATGTCGATCTATGAATGCCGGCAAATAAATTTCAAAATGCTAGATTGAAATTTGAGACCGAACCAAGACGCGCTGGGTGGGCAAATTAGGCAGAAGCGCAGTGTAATAAACACAAACAAAAATCGGTAGAAAATTGGGCGGACAAACAAGGAAACCAAACAGTGAGATATGTGTACATATGAATTTATTGAAACAATGTAGCAATGTGAGATTGTGCGTAGGTTTGTCTATTTGTATTTTTAGGTAGGACTATTTATGCGCTATTAAGACAGGTCAGTGATAGGTTAGCGCAGGTTAACGCAGGTCAGTGACAAGCGGAACGGCAAGCAAGGCAGCGCATGCGTAGCAAACAAGTGTGTTTTACATATATACATTCAATACTTTTGTGCGTGGTACACTGCTTTGTTAGCGTACAAAGTGCCGACAGTATGCGCAGCGTTGTCGAATTATCGTCACATAGTTATCTCCAAAAATTATTTGCTTCGAAAAGTGAAAAGAAGGAAAAACTAAATAAGGAATAATTAGTAAGCGAAACCAATTAAAATGGGTATAAATCAAGTGTAATTAAAATGCAGTGATAATATTAAGGATAATTCTCCAGTACTTGTATGTATGCATGTGTGGCATAACAAAGAAATAGATTTTCAATTTTAGATAACATCATTTTCAATTATACGCTACTTCTCAAGGATACCTGCACTCAGACCTCTAATTGGCTACAAATAAAATCATAGAAATCTTCATCATCCCTCCATCAACTCCGAGCAAATATTTGTATGCTGGACACGTTTGCCAAGAGCCTGGAATGTACCTGTCACTTGCACTACAACAAAAAGGATATCGTTACTTATCTACAAATATTTTTGTTTTAATAGAAAAAGGTCCCGAAATTCACATTATCTGTAATAAAAATAAACAACATCAGACAAAAACAACACAAATTGTTATTATTTGTTTTTGTACGCCTCTTAATGATTGTTGTAAAATGCAAACACATCCTGGTTTAGAGCTACACATGCTTAAAAGATCTTGCTTTCCTGTTAAATAAAAGCATATAAATAATAACTCAAATATATTTATTTGGGCTTGTATGTGTGACTGAGCAGTGGCGTTCATATAATTTATGTAATTGGAAAAATTTTCGAGAAAATAACGGCATTTTGTAGAAGAAAAGGAGTGAATATTAATTGTTTTTTATTTTTATGTTTTAATTATGGCAGCTTAAGGATTAATAAATGTGAAAGCTCTAAAAAATGTGAAATAAAGCTTTTCGACTTGTATGAAAGCTTACACGATTTTTACATAAAAAGCTCAAAAATTTACTGGTACATATTTGATTGTGGCTTTGATTTGTTGACTTAAAATACTAGCTAAACCAATGTTTCACTTTGAGAAACGCGAAAATTCTCTCTCGCGTGAAAGCTTAATTTCAATTTCAGCGCAGAAGCTTTGATAAAAAGTTTGTGTTATTGAAATAAACAGTTTTAGTGCGATTTGTAAACCTATTGATGACTACTTTAAAGAAATATTATTTATTTTATAGTTTTTTGAAACAATTCTGCAAGGAAATTATACCAACCAAATAATTAATATATGTGAAAGCTACTTCAAAAGTTTTAATAGTAAAGTTCTCAGTCTTGAATGAAAGCCTCTTAAAAGGTTTGAATAACAAAGCTTGCGGTCTTGCACAAAAGCTTAAAGCAATCTTAAGGATTAATAGTGGTGAAAGCTTTCTAAATATTTGTAATTATAAAGCTTTGGGTCTTACATCAAAGCTTAAACCAATCTGAAGGAGTAATACATGTGAAAGCTCCTTAGAAAGTTTTCATAATAAAGCTTTTGATCTTGCTTGAAAGCTTAAAGCTAGTTTTAAAACTAAACTGAAATTATTTTTTAAAATTTGTGGTATTACCTTGTTTAAAAGTTGATTTAAAAAATCAGCGCACTTCGGCACACTCGAAAAATGAAAGCGTCTACATTTCAAGTGAAAGGTTCAGAGCACGAGCTTTGTAGCTAAAACAAAACATCTCATAAAGCTTTCACCTCTCTATAGATCACTACTTTTTCACTTTTTTGTAAGCAAATGATCAAAAACAATGTTCAAGCCAAATAAGTAATACATATGAAAGCTTAACAAATAAGTAATACCAATGAAAGCTCTCTAAAAGTTTTAATACTACAGCTTTCGGTTATAAAGATTCTAATAATGCATTTATGGCACTTAGGAAGACGATTAAAAAGGAAGCTTTTTCATCTCCCATGAAAGTTGTATGCCGAATTCAAAACATGACCTTCGCTGCAAGGACATAAATTGTGCTATTAAAATAAATATGTAAAGTGTTAAATCCATTGTGTGACCATATTTATGAAATGTGCGAAAACCAAGTATTCTCGTGAAGCTTTCACCTACCGTCAGATCACTGATGGTCCTTTTACAAGTTCTTCAATATCATAAAATAAGTGGTTAAAAAGACCTATATGATAAGAGTTTGCGACGAAAATAATACGGAATTTCATTTAATTTATGCTTTTGAAACGTATTGCGACAAAAATTGATAAAGTGTCGTCGGAAACATAGCCACTTTTTACTAGCCCCAAGCATGCTCAAATTATGTAAGTTAAAAATTTATTGAAATACGCATAAAACGTGCGCCAACAAATCAAAAATTCACAATTTTGTAAAAAAAACGCCAAGCTTACAAACGAATTGAAGAGCTTATGCACCTAAGTAATAACGGTCTGCACCTTATGAATGAATGACTGCATGAATGAACTGAAACGAATTTGGTCGGAACAGACTGCAATTGAATGAAAATGCCACCAAAATGCAGCGAAAATGACAAAATTGTTACACGAAATTATTTGTAAGCACACAAACCTAACACGTAAGCAAATGTTTAAGTATCCCGTAAGTGCGTTGTACACGGAAAAAAGGCAATTCAATTACTTCGGCAGCATTTTTCTGAATTGATGTGGGACATCAGTTACGCTGTTTCACAATTTCAGCCCTGCGCTTTTTCCTATTTGGACTTGCAACACAACGCTTATAACCAAATACACACTTACATTACACAAATTACGTAATGATTACGCGCAACTAATCATAATCAAGTGTTATAAAATGGCTTTGTCTGGGAGTCTTTTCATTTGCGCGCGCATTGATGGCAGTCACAAAAAAGGGAAATACCATAAATATGGCAACTAACGCGTCCCACTGTTGCTTTTATTGCAAACAATAAACGGTTTTTGTATTTTTTTTTTTAAGTGCCCCTACTTAAGTAAATGCCATTTCAGTTTTATGTAAGTAAATGCACTTGTGTCTGCAATCTAAGCACTAAATCACGTTTTTCCCTGCAAACAAAAGCAAAGTAATATATTTAAGAGGCTCAAGCGGTCAGCGCCGGAAGTTGAGGGTTGCGAATGAAAATATTTTGCGGAAGCTTAAGCGATTTGCATTGTTTTCGGTTACTTCGTAATGTTTGTAGTTGTTATTAATATACAATTTAATATACCTTTCAATTTTGTTTATTGCAATTTCTAATATTTTAGTCTCTCTCTCCCTTTTTCTTGCAATAAATTACGTATATTTTTTTTTTTTCCTTAAAATCATGTTCATATATTTTATATATTTTTTCTTGCAATAAATTTCATACAGTTTTTATATTTTTTTTTTTTTTAACTAATTAACATTTCTTTTCATTTTAGGTAAAGACCAGCTGCCTTCTCCACATTTCATACCAATTAAGCTATTTTAAATGCTTTTGTGATTAATTGCTATTGACGTAGTCACAGTTTAAGATTTCGCGACTCAATCAACTAATATGGAAACTGGATAGCCACTTAATTTGGTAGCTTCAATCAGTCAGCTTTTCGTTTTGTTTGTATGTATATGTAGGTATGTATTGAGATTTGCATAAAAATTAGCATGCAGCGAGAAATGGACATGAATATGCATAAAATTAATTTTAAAAAATATAAAAAATAATACAAAAGTTTTTGACAATGAAAAATTGTTAGTTTATTAGGTGACCACTTTCGCAAATTATAAAATATTTTTAAAGAAATTTAGTTAGCAAAGAAAATGCAAATTTCGAAAATATTTTATTGCAGCAGACAATGGGTTAATGATTTCTTGCTAAATATCAGCAATAAATCACATACTTATCCCTCTGATGACCATTTACATATATTTCATGACGTACATACACACAGTTTATAATATGATATTTAGTCAAATAATTACAGAAAAATATGTGCAATAAACTACGATAATGCTATATTCTCTTGAAGGATGAAAGCTTACAAAAAGCTTTCACCAAAAAGCATAGATTCGCGGACTTACCTCTGAAAAGCTTACATAAAGCCTTTGAAAGGCTTGCAAGAAGCTTTCACCAAAAAGCATAGATTCGCAGTCTTACCTTTGAAAAGAAAAGGCACATAAATCGAGAATATTGTTTATCAAAATATCAAACTTTTGTTAGAAAATCTGCCACTGTCCTTAGAGCTTTCATTATATTTTCATCTTCACTTTTTACTTAGTGTAATAAAACATTTAAAAAATTATAATATAAGACTTTAAAGCACCCAAACTCATCAAGCCAACCAACATATGATTAAAGTCGGAGAAACGAAATTATTCCAAAGTACGTTAGTGTTGTGCTCTAAAGTAGGAGAGATCGACAAACCATATCGGGCTCTTTTTACTACATTAAATTGCAAGGGAATTATTCAAAGATATGTATGACGTCAGAAAAGCTATAAGATGAATAGCTTTCTGCTTTCGTCCAGACTCTAAATCAGAAACTGAACTTTCGATAAGAAATTATACAAAAGCATTTTTGTATTATGTTAAAACGCATCAGAAATGACTAATCAGTGTTTTTTTAAAAAGCTTACTGCTACTTATGAAAGCTTAAAAGCTTCTAAGTCAGAAAATTAACTTTAGCTAAGAAACTATGAAAACGCATAAACGTATTCAATTTAAAAGCAATAGAAAAAGCCAATAGGAGTTTTATTAAAAGCGTTCTCCGAAGTGTGAAAGCTTTAATTACTTTTTATATCATAAAATAAACTTGCGGTAATAAATTATACGAAAGAATATATGTATGATATTTAAAAGGTTTAGAAAAGCTTGTATGCATTTTACAAAAAGCTTTCTACGGCTTATGAAAGTTTACATCAGAAAATGAACCTTTTTCGATAAGAACTATGTAAAGGCATACACGTAATACAATATGGTATCATTTGCGTGAAAGCTACTTCATAAACGTTGAGTGAAAGCTCCACTTATAAGTCGATTTGAGAAGTTGATAAGCAATTTAATTTTTTTTAAGCGAAAAACAGTAAACAACTTTTCAGCTTCTACTGCATATAATATTACAATATTTTGCCTTATGCCAAAAATGTCAATTTAAAGTTCGTACACAGAATGTACATGGCACTAACTGAAATATTGCCTCACACAATTGTCAAGATAAGTCTAAATTTCACAGGAAAAATCACCAATTTTACGCTACCCAAAAGGAACTAATTTGAAAACAACTGCTGAGCGAAACACAATAGATCAACCCCATTTTACGCAACAGCAAAATTTTAGAGAAGATTTAAGATGTTTTGTATGTGTATGTGTAGGAGAAACGGTAAACTATAATGCCACTGTTGCAAAACCACTTGTGTGGCGAAAATTCCCAAAATTTCGTTTTTGCAACAAATCATGGACAACAGGTAGTGGAAAGAAGGCAAATTGCTTTGAGAATGGGCGCGCCCAGCAACAGCTAAGCCACTACTTATCAGTCCTTTGGGAAATAACCGTACACGTGCTTGCTTGTAGGCACATAGGTTGATGTAACGGCACAATTTAACTTTAAAGAGATTAAGGGTTACGCTTTTGTTTTAAAATACCAAACAGAAACGGCCATAGAGTAAAGCAAAAAGGGATGGGAGTAGGCGTAGAGGAGTAAGAGAAGAAGGGTTTGGTCATATAAGCAATTGAGGGCGTGTCTGCAGTATGCAAGTCACTATCGCATGGGAAATTTGCGACACTTACTTGTAGAAAATTTAAAATGTATTAATTAATAGCTAAATATATAAATCACCGAAAAGACTGCTCTCAGCTGCTTTCCCATCATTCTTTGACTTAATTTATTATTTTAATTTAAATATCTTAATTTTGCTTTATTTCCCTTTTAACGCTGTGTTTAAGCAGCTATATTTAAGTACGTAGTTGTAGTTGGCTCAATCCGCTGCAAATCATTCATTCCCACCACATCAAATCACCGCCATCTGCGAGCATCATCGTGCTTTGCGCAAGCGCGTGTGAATTTGTTAACCTCATTGTCTTTTTATTGCTTTATTTTCCTACGAATTCACTTTGGCTCAGATTGATAAATGTGCAACTTTGATAGCACTAGGCAATCAAGCTCGCTTGAAGATTTATGTTGAGCCTACTTTTGGTGAGAATTCTGTTTGAATGAAAGGGAAATGATCTTGCACTTAATGTAGTTTGTTCAATTTTTTAAATTGTAAAAAATTTATATTGTCTTTGTGTGAGCTATGAAGTTTAACTTCCAGTTTCTTTTACTCATAAGAAAAAAATTAAAGAATAAATCGATTTTTTCTGCGTTGGAATATGATACCCAATTAGCCAGAATTCTCTTTACAAGTCAAAAAATGTTAGTAATAACGTAGAAAATAGCAAAAAATTATATATATATAGATATAATTTCAGTCTATTACGTAACATTTTCTGTATCAGAACGCAGTTTCTGTTGGTAAAAAATCAGAAACAGAATAACCCCTGGGCATGCTTTGTTAGTCGATTCCAAACAGCAGCAAAATAACAAACATATTTCACCTAACCTTTTCTGATTCTGTGTACACTATCTGTTTCTGTTTCTGTTCATGATATTTCATTGAAGAAAAGCAGAAATAGATATTATATAAGTTAAAATTATTATAAACATTTCTTTTTTAACATTTTTTTCTTTGTGCAGTTGATGTTTCTGCGTCTAATGTTACATTGAACAGCAGCAGAAACATAATATAGTGCTCTGTAACAGATACTAAAAATAATGAAAAACACTTTGACACAAACTCAAATAATACAACAGTGTACAACATAGTGGACTTAGTTCTGTTTCTGTTAAAATCGCTTCATTAACAGTGCATCGTAAATCAAATGTTATGTGAGAATTCTATTAACATGGTCTGGGTATATACATATGTTAAAAAAATAAAATAAAATGTGAATAGTATTATGTATATATTAAAAGTATTAAATTTCATAATAATAGAAAATTTTCGACTTTTGTTTTTTGAATTTTTTTTTGGTTTTGATTCCCCGCTCACTTTTTAAATATTATATGTTTATATATATTATAACATGACTTCAGCAATCATTACTTACTGTTAAACAGCAAACTAAAAATATCCAAAACTGGTTTTTTATCAAATTGATTTTTTTATTTTTCTAAAAAATATTTAAATTTTTGAGTAAGGAGCAACGCGGAAAATGTGTGATATGTTAATTACCAGATTGTTACCAATAATTAATATGCCATGTTTGCGGAATTGTTTACTGATTGAAAGCTGTCGGTATTTTAAGAAATGACATCAGCGACTGGAAAAACTAGAAAATATGGAAAAAAAACTTTAGTATTTCAATTTTAAAAGCAAACACATATTATTGGGAGATAAGAAATCAGCAATAATGACTGCAAAAATTACTTAGTGAATACCAAATAACAATGTTCGGTGGGAGATAGTGGCGGAGAAAAAAAATTTGTGATAGAAATAAGCAACGGTGTTACGTGAGGAACAGAAAATAATTACCATATTTTCTGGAATGGTAAAATTCCATAATTTTTAATGACAAAGTTTTGAAAAATTAAATCAAAATCCGCGCAAGATAGAAATAAAAATTTTGAAAAAAAAACTAAAAAAAAATTCTTGAA